AATATACAAGTTTCACTTTTTAAATGGAATTACTGAAATCAATCTACTTTTTCATGATATTCTAATTTTATGACCAGCACCTGTATATTATTCTAAAAAAAAATCTACATAGCACCACGCAGTTGCTGATTTTAGCCACTAGATGGAGACCTCACTCTGCAAATTTCTCATCTACTAAACAGAAATCTGGCATCTTCATTTGTTTTTTTTAGGAAGACTTAATGTAAAGACCAACACTGACTAAAATAATATGGACATTATAGTAATGTAGTTATTCTAAACACCTCGTGCCCTCACCCAATCTGTTGCTTTTCATTTTCTGCTTTGACTGTGATTAATGCGTAAATGATTTACACATTTAAGAGTCTCAAAATTAACAGCCCTCCTGATTCTGTTCTGGCACTGATCTGGATCCTCTCCGTGACATTTCAGCAGTTTCAGGTGGGTGGGACACTGACAAGCTGCTAGTGTGAGGCCAAACTCCCCACTGATGTTCATGGGTAGTCCACACAAACACACACATACAACACACAGGTTCAGCGTGTGAGTGCAGTTCAAGGCATGTGACAAAGAGCGTGTGGGAGATAACGCGAGTAGGCAGTTGGAAACACACTTCGCACAAAGAAAGGAATAACAGTGCCACACATATGTGAATACTCACAGTTGCATGACAAGGTAGAGGTGTGATTTACTCTCGAATATCTCCTCCAGAGATACGATGTTTGGGTGTTTAATCCTGTTAGGGAGGAAAAGACAAGGATGGAGAAATGGTTTGTTTGTGTATTATCTCACTTTTTAGAAATAATCCTATATATATTCTTAAATATTACATATGCACGTCTGTGCTTGCAGCTGGGAAATCTGATCTTATTGTAAAGACGAAGGGCTGGGTCACTTTATCATTATGGATAGGATCATGTGTCTCTATGCAGAGGCATGCAGCTCCCTAATTGGCTGAGCTCAGCTTAGGTGCCCTTTGACACCCATCAGTGCTGTGACAGCGGTAAGAGAATGAGTTACCAGCTTCACATTGCTATATTTACTTTATTATCTAATCAGTATTCCATTAATAATGTCGAATTTTGTTAAAAGTCTCCCTCACCTGATGAAATATATCACTTTCGTTTTCAATTAATCTTTTTTGTCCTTAAAAAAATTTAAGTCATGTATACAAGCACTAAGGTTTGAAAATAGGTTCATCTAACAATACCTTTTTAACATTACAACCCCAACCCTTTAATGTTTTTATCAATTTGAGGTACGGTACAATTGAAAAGTAGTGCATAACTGTAAAGTGTCACAGTCTTGGTTTGTTAGTTCCTGTTTTCTTGGTTTTCCATTTGTTGTCCTCTGCTGCCCTCTTGTGTCCTCTTTCCCTAGCTCTGTTTACCTTACCTGTTTTCAATCCCCTCGTTAGCCCTCTCTTTGTTTCTGTCCCCTTCAAAAGCCTCCCTCTTCAGTTCCTGTTTGCTGGATCCTCGTCTAACGTCTGTCTGCGTACCTCGTCTTTCCCTGGCTCCTAGAATTTGGTTTCCCCTGATGTCTCAAACCAACACCTAATCCTGACAGACTGCTGAGTCAATCTTTGCTGGATCCTTCTGTCAGGATTAGGTGTTGGTTTGAGGACCCAAATGCAGAGGCAAGTAGGCAGATGTGAATTTAGGTGGGTTTAATGAGGTTTACAGGAACTGAGGCAGGAATCAAAAATCCAACAGAAATAACAGACGAACCAGAACCAGGGAGACATCAGGGGAAACCTAACTATAGGAGCCAGGGAAAGACGAGGTACGCAGACAGACGTTAGACGAGGATCCAGCAAACAGGAACTGAAGAGGGAGGCTTTTGAAGGGGACAGAAACAAAGAGAGGGCTAACGAGGGGATTGAAAACAGGTA